AGCCGACATTTACTGAGTCCTGCCATGCCAGGCCTTGAGGACAGAGCAGTGAATGGGACAGTGAGGTCCCTGCCCTCCAGGAGTTTATAGCCCAGGGAGGGGAGGCAGACAATAAACACACAGGTACATTTGTGAAAAAGCAAACGTGGAATAAGAGGGGCAAAGAGTGGGGGGGTGGGTAGAGGTGCTTTGCGTGCAGATCCTTGGTCCCCAGGTAAACCAAATTCAGACTTTGGATGTCAGTGCCACAGAATTACACAGAGAACATTCACATATCAGAACGACAGCACCACGGACGATAATTCCCGGTTATGACGTGGTGTTCTGCATCTATGATTCCTGCCACAAAGAAGGCACTCGGTACACAGGGCCACTGGCCGTTGGTGACATTTGTCTCCACGCTTTCCCTCCCTGACAAAGTCAACAAACCCGATCTATGAGTGGTTCCACCGGCAGATAGTAGTTCATGGGGGTCATGAGCCCAGCCTCCCCACCGTGACAGCTAAACCAGAGGAGTGGAGTGCCGGGGAGAGATCCACGGGCAGAGCAGCTTGGCTGCTGTGTCCTAGAGTGAATCTTCCCGATTGCCTGCTGGGGCAAGCACCTGTGCAAAAAGAGAGTCAGCCTTCTGCTGGGTACCTGGGATTCCAGACCTAATGAGCGGAGGGCAAATCTTTCCCCTTCCTGGTAACTCTATCTCCTAGAAGAAATGTCTACTCTGGGAAGAGTTGAAATTTATCTTAGTTCAAAAGGCACAGAACAATTATGCACCAACAAATAAGAGAGTCTAGAAGAAATGGGTACATTCCTAAAAGCATACAACCAGCCAGGACCGAATCATGAAGATTAGACAGACCAGTGATGACTAGGAGATTGACTCAGTAATAAACCCTCCCACCAAAGAAAGCCCAGGCCAGATGGTGTCACTGGTGGGTTCTACCAAACACTTAAAGAAGAGTTAACTCCAAACCTCTCAAAGTCTTCCACAAAACTGAAGAGGAGTGAACATTTCCAAACTCATTTTATGAGGCCGGCATCACCCTGACACCAAAGTCAGATAAGGACACGACGATAAAAGTACAGACCAGTGTGGCTGATGAATATAGAAGCAAAGATTTCCAAAGAAGATATATGAGTAGCCAATGGGCACATGACCAGGGGCTCAACATCACTGATCATCAGGGAAATGCAAATCAAAACCACAGTGAGATATCAGCTCACACCTGTTAGAATGGCCATTATCAAAATGACAAGAAGTAGCAAGTGTTAGTGAGGACTTGGAGAAAAGGAGCCCCTCGTGCACTGTTGGTGGGAACGTAGGCTGGTGCAGCCACTGTGGAAAACAGGATGGAGGCTCCTCACACATTTAGAAATAGAACTTCTATATGATCCAGCAATCTCGCTTCTGGAGATGTATTTGAAGAAAATGAAATCACTATCTGGAAGAGACATCTGCCTCCCCATGTTTACTGCAGTAGCCAAGACACAGAAACAATCTAAGTGTCCACTAACGGACAAACGGATCAAGAAAATACGGTACACATCACCATGTATATATCCAACGGGATACTACCCGGCTGTGAAAACGATAGCCTGCCATTTGCAACGACATGAACGAAACTTGAGAACATCATGCTCAGTGAAATCAGTCAGACAGAAAGACAGATACTGTAAGAGTTCACTTAGATGTGGAACCTAAAAACACCGAAGTCATAGAAACAGAACGACGGGTGATTGCCGGGGGCTTTGCGGGGTGAGGGAAGGGCGGGGCGTTTGTCACAGGTCATCAACTTCCAGTTACAAGAGGAGTGAGTTCTGGGGACATGATGCACAATGCGGTGACTATGTTAACAAGACCGTACACCACCTATGTCCCCGCCACACGCACGTGCACACGTGCGTGCACACACCCACGCACGATAATTATCTGCGGTGACAGAGGGGTTAAATAACCCTATTGCTGTAATCGTTTCTCACAAGATACATCGAGCAAATCGCTAAGTTTTATACCCTGAATTTATACAATGTTATATGTCAACTATATCTCAAGGAAGGTGGGGGATAAAAGAGAACAGTGTAGACTCTATAACTAGTTTGGCGGGTTAAAATCCCCGGCTCCTCCACGTCCTAGCTGTGTGGCCAGGGAAAAGTATTTAGTCCCCCTGTGCCTCGGTTTTCTTATCTGTAACACGGGGAGGATGGTAACCAAGTATCACTGTGGGTGTTGGATTCAATGACGTGTTGGACGTCAAGTGCTGTGAACCGTCCCTGGCTCATGGTGCGTGCTGTTTCTATGTATCAGCTCTTCTCTGGTGCCCCTCACACTGCGCCTGGGCCCTCAGGAACTTCATGCTCCCCTCGATCAGCTCAGGGGACACCCCCACACCTTAGCTTGCACCCACACAGCACCACCCTGGCCAACGTTGACCCATTCTATGGACCGAATTGTGTCTACCCCCAAATTCATGTGCTGACGCAGCTCTAACCCCCAGTGTGCCGGTTTTGGGGATGGGGCCTTTGGGAGGTCAGGTTTAGACGAGGTTGGGGGGCGTGGGCCCTCCTGATGGGATTAGTGTCCTTACAAGAAGAGACACCAGAGACACCTCTCTCTCACTCACCCCTCTTTGCCGTGTGAGGACACACCTGCTCCAAGAAGGCAGTTGTCTGCAAGAAAGAAGGCTCTCCCCAGAACCTGACCACACTGGTACCCTGATCTCAGACTTCCGGCCTCCAGGGCTGTGAGAAATGAATTTCTGTTGTTAAAACCGCATGAGCTAAGACAGCCCACGTTAGCCTGGTGCTCCGGGCTACTGCAGAGTTTCCCTGCTGCTAGAAATTCTCCCATTTCTGAGCCCAGAGATTTTGCGTAAGGTCCACGAATAGAAAAGGTCTAGTAAGAAATCCCTGCTCTGCCATATGTCACCTGAATCCTTGACATCTGCTTACTCTCTGAGATCACCTGTTTCCTTAACAGAGGACGACATCTGCCTTGCAGGCTCGTGCAAGCCAGCCCAGTGCCATGTGTGAGCAGCCAGCTGGCTGCCCGGAGCTCAGGAGGTGGACGCATTCTACTGACCTTAACTCCAAGGGGAGGATGAACACCTTCACACAGGTGTGCATTTCCAACAGACTCCTCACTGCCCTCTTCAGGGAGTGTAGCCTTGGGCTCCCCAAGGACACTTTTCAGTACAAGAGCCTTCCTGGATAAGCAGCCCTCCCGCCTTCAGAGCCCCTCTGGGTTTCCGGGCCGGCACGTCTTCGGGGGGTGAGGGGAGGGTGCCCCTTGGCAGCTTGTTGCTCTGCTGACCTCTTCTCCCTCTTGAAACGCCATCCACACGACTACCAGGCTCAGTCTCTGCCTCTCTGTGCTGGGGGTTGCACCCACTCTTACTGTTCACTGAGAAGTTTCCAGAGTGAGAAGCACATAGTCCGTGGGATCTGCTGGTGGGAAGACCTGCCCGGGGAGGGCCCCTTGGTCACAGGACCCGCCTCAAGGGAGCTGAGGGGAAAACTGCAGAGCAGCTGGGCCGCCCGTGTAGAGGCCCCTTCCCACAGCTGCTGCCCCGACTGTTCAGGGTCATGGCTCTGTCAGGGCTCAGCGCTCACAGAGACTGCATGGTTCTCTGCCTGTGTAGCATGGTGGGAGGACAGCGGGCACTGGCCTGTGGGCTCCTTTGGAGGACTGACAATGCCTTCTTTGTCTCTGAGCCAAGTGATTGTGTGGAGGTGTATACCCTTTGTGGCCTTGTGCACATTACCAAACCTTTCTGAGCTTCATGCTCCTTTTCTGTAGAATGGAGATACCGATATCTTGGTCTTCTGGGACTGTTACTATGGTCAGTAAAATGGCGTGTGTAAAATTCACTTATTCCGTAGATACTTACTGAGTGCCTAACGTGGGCTAAGCCCTAGTCCAGGCACCTGGGATACAATAGTGGTCAGAATAAAGAGCTGCCTTCGTGAGGTGAGTACGGGGGAAGTGGGAGGGACAGAGACAGGGCACGGCAGGTGGGGATTAGTGCTTCGAGGAAGAATCCAGGGGAGTCTGGAGATGGGGTGCCAGGGTGAAGGGCTCCTGTGTTACACAGGTGGTTTGGGAAGGTCTCCCTAAAGAGGGGAGTAGACTCCTGGGGGAGGTGAGAGGTGAGCATGAGGATATCACAGAAGAGCAGTGCAAAGGCCCTGAGGTGGGATCATGACTGGAAGGCTTGAGGAAGAGACAGGGGGTCATGGTGGTTAGAGTGGAGGAGGGGAGGGGAGGGAGGGGGGAGATCAGGTCAGAGCAGCAGGGCCTCGGGGGCCAATGAGGATGATGGCTGTCACTCTGAAGGAGGTGGGAAGCCAAAGGAGGATTTTGTGCAGAAGAGCAACATGACTTAGAGTTTCCTTCTGATGCTGCACTGGGAATAGACTGTGCGCAGCAATGGTGAAGCAGAAGGCCAGTGAGGACGTCACGCAGTAACCCAGGGAAGGAGCCCTGGTGGCTTGGGCCAGGGGGTGGCAGTGGAAGTGGGGGAAATGAGTCACAGCCTCGCTATATCCTGAAGGTAGAGCCAGCAGGACTGGCAGGTGGATTAAATGTGGAAGACAAAATTAGAAGAAGAGTCAAGAACGAAGCCCCGAGTTTTGGCCTAGGCAAGTAGGAGAGTGGGGTTTTACATTTACCCAGGGGTGCTCCAGGCCATGAAGACTCACGGAGAGGCGAGGACCCTGCAGCGCGGTTAACCGGCTAATGCTGCTCTTTGACGTCAACACACGGTGGAGCAGAGTACAGACACACACAACTGTCTCCAGGGCGTGACAAGGCTCCTGGCCAGCACTCCCTCACTGGAGAACCTCACCGTAACCTGAGTATTAATATCTGCATGAAGAAACTGTGTATCGCCATGGAAGGCGGCCAAATGGAGCCAGAAAGGGGAGAATCACCAGGAGGGCTGGCCATGTCCACCTCTAACCTGAGAACACTGAGCATGAACAAGGTCCATGGAGACTCAACTCACCTGTGACGGTGACGTTCAGGGCCCCGCTGCGGGCCAGGCCGTGGCCATTGTCCGCCGTGCAGTAGTAGCGACCCGCATGGCTCTCCCCGACGGCAGGGATCTCCAGCTCTGCTCTCCGGGAACGCTGGCGCTTGCTCCCCACACTCTCCCCCGTGTCCTCTCTGTGCCAGAAGAACGTGGTGTCCCCTGTGCCTTCAGCCACGGAGCAGACGAGGACCAGACGCTCCCCTGCAAGCACCTGTCCCCCCTGGGGCTGGGTCTCCAGGAGCACTGCCGACACCGGGATGCCTGCGTGAACGAGACAGGGCAGGTGAGGGCAGGTGAGGGCAGGTGAGGCCAGGTGAGGCCAGGTGAGGGCAGGTGAGGCCAGGTGAGGCCAGGTGAGGGCAGGTGAGACCAAGTGAGGGCAGGTGAGGGCAGGTGAGGCCAGGTGAGGGCAGGTGAGGCCAGGTGAGGGCAGGTGAGGGCAGGTGAGGCCAGGTGAGGGCAGGTGAGGCCAAGTGAGGCCAGGTGAGGCCAGGTGAGGCCA